AAGCTCTTTGAGTTGCCTTGCGTTAGTTTCAAAATGACGTAATTCAGCTTTAACAGACGCCATGTCCACTTAATGCATCTTAATGCGTGTCAAATGTCTTGCTCAATGGCCTAGACATAAGAGCTGAATTGGAACTCCATAATCAATGCATTTTTTAGGCTTGTGTCAATTATATTTTCCTTCTTCATATCCACTCTGAGATTACTCCTCACAAGTATTAACTCAGGTAATTTCTCTCTGCGTTGTTTTTGTTTGTTTTTTCAACGGTAAAATACCTCCCCCGTTCACATACAATCGAAAAACACTTCCTTTTCATTCATCTTCATCTGAACTATCCCCGTGTCTGTCCACAGCAGTGCCTCTCTTTTGTTTGCCTACACATTGACATATTGATCCGGACACAATCAGGATAAAACCCTTATTGCCAAAGCGGGGCAAAGGCCAGCCTAGCATCAGCTCTTGTTTGCACATTACACATTATGTATAAAGCAGCGTATGGCCTGATGAATGTGTACCTCTCTGTGTCTATTGAGCCGGCAAGTCTTACTAAAGGGGCTTGCTATGGAAAAAAAGGCAAGAGCGTACGTCTGAAATTAATCAACCCTTCTAGAACCAGCCCCCCTCTCCTCCCCTCCCCCCCCCTCCCCTTGCCTCGCTGTGGTGGAGGGGTGAGTGGCGGAGATGCAGAAAAGAACAACAAAGCAGTGTCATCTGTTTTGTCGGAGGTGGCTGCGGCCCAGGCTCTTGCTGTGCGCTGAAAAAAGACTCTGAAAAAAGGAAGGAGGAGGAGGAGGGTAGGAGTGAAGAAGGACACGGAGGGAAGAAAGAGGACAGGTCAGGAGAAGCACGGAGGCTGGATCACAAATATGTAAAGGAGTGTGGTCAGTGGTCAAGGCAAAGTTAATGATGATGAGAGAAGAGGATGTTTATCTGCAAAGGCAAGGACATAGAAAGCATTTAAACATGTGATAGAAAGCTGGTAAATATAACGCGTAATTTACATGGAAGGATCAGAGAAGAAATTGTGTGAACTGCCCAATGCCCATGTTGAACCATGAATTGAAACTAACAAAAAATATAATAATGAAAAAAATAAAAAAGTACAATCTGGACAATAACATGGAGAAACATAAGAATAACCTTAAAGATATAAATACATACTATACTTTTTTGAAAACACTATTCATTTCTTGATATAGAATGCAATGTAATGTTGTTAGAAGAAACTATATGGATAAACATGTATACTGAATGACAAAAATAAACATTTCGTGCCGCAAATATGTGGTTGTAAAGAACATTATTTCACAAAAAAAGCAGAAAATTAGCATGATAAGAAGAAGAAACGTTTCTGATACGAGAGAGGACGGAACAAACAACTCCAAGTCTGACATCGATGAGGGCTGTTGTAAAATGGTTAAACTCTCAAAATAGTCTATGTTCCATTCTACATCTCCTTAAAGAAAAAAAAAAACATTGTCTGGGCTTGAAACAACAGTGACATCTCTCTCACACTTTGAAAAGTTACATTTCAATGGGATAATGTTACGTTTGAGTTCCCAAAACAAAACCAGATGCATTGACTCCTGCTATAGCTCAAGTGCATGTCTCGGGGCGTGCTCCTGAAAATAAAATTGGCTCTATACATATATTGCAGCAATCCCACCAAATCACAACAATTGCAGTCATTTTTTCAGTGTTAAAAATGTGTAACTTATTGTTTTCGCAGAATTTTGTAACTATTGCTTGTTTGTTTCTTATATTATAGTCTGTTTTTATTTTTTATATGGACCTTTTTGTGTCTGAATTAAAGATTAAAGTGTGTGTATTTTGTGTACAGTCTGTCTAGTCAGTGTGATGCAAGATACTTTACTTTTTACAGATGTGTATAACGGGAACTATTCTACTATTGACACTTTGGCCTCGTTTACCAACTTTGCGGAGAGGTTTGATAGGATTCTGAATAGAGCAGTCATTGTCAGAATTAAATGCAATTACTCTGGTGGGTGTAGAAGAAGATCATTCCTTGGACAAACGACTGCAGCAAATGAACCCATGCTTCAAGTCTGCAAGAAATAATAACAGCAAAGGATCAGAGAAAACACCACTCCCACATAACAAACTGTGCACTAAAGTCATTTCTTCTCTCATATCTGTCTCCGTCTCCCCCCAGTACCTCAGCCTCAACTCTATAGTTACTGTTAGTCCTCTGTTATCCAATAAAAGTCTTTCCCTTCAATAGATTTCTCATAATAGAATTAGATGTGCTCCATAACGGGAGGAAACGCAGACAGCAAACTGACAACGCCCTTCAACTGACATTTGTTTTTCTCAATAACTGCTGAAGCAATGAGCTGAGAATACGAGATGTCACACTCTCACAGCAGAATGCAGAGCACATGTAGCAGAGGGTAAACACCGGGCGGGGACAACGAGGGTTTAGGGGCTTTTGAGCGCCACGACATGGATTCTTTTCAAGGATATTGTTACCTTGTTTTGTTTACCGTCACAACAACCCGCTCGGCTTGTGTTTTTTTTTGCTTCTAAAATGCTATATGTTTCTGCATATGCTTACGGCCATGTTTTTGTCAGTGAGTGGTGAATATTAACAAGGGGAAAAACACATGCAAATGGCTTGTTTATGGGGCAAGTCAGTGAATGAAATATGGTCAATTTACTACGTGTCAAATTGTGAATCAAAATGAAGTCATTTAATTTAATGGGGCACCATGCCTAATTCTTTAGTTTCATTGTATGTATTCATTCTTTCTCTCTGGGAATTTATTTTTTCATTGAATTATAAGTTTGCAGTAGAAGAGCAGCTCATGTGTAAATGGAAAATGGTGGGGTGATTAAATAAATTCTAATCTTCTTCCCACTCCATTTCAAGGCAAGGCAGGGCAAGTATAGTTCATGCACAAGGCAACTCAAAGTGTGGCCAACTACTTGATCTTGATTTTTTTACAAATATGTTTTTATTGTTATCCTTTTTACGTTTAATATCAAATGTGTTGCACCTGTGTTTGCATGACATAAATATATACATATAATCTGTAGACCTTAATCCTCTCCATCTGATTGTTTAGATCTTATTAACTGAACGTTTTTGTTCAATGCTAGTCACTTATTGCTAACATGACAGCAAACCAACAGCCAGAATAGCCACAAATTGTGAAACCCCCCTCTGCTGAACAACTATGTATGAATGCATTTTACATGAGCGTATCACTCTTTGATTCTGATGTGATGGCTATTGCTTTTAATTATTCAAATATGTTTTTGTCAATTTCAATGTCAGGTTTTTTTTGCATAGCACATTTACAACAACAGCAGCTGCTCAAAGTGCTTCACAAGAACGAAAGATAAATAAAAAAGAAAAGAAACAGCATAGAATACACCCAAATGCATAAAAACTGCTATTTCAGAATGTCAACTGTGCAATGTCCCTTTACTTTATCTACTTATTATCCTGCCCTATATGTATGGTATATACCTCTGCACACTATATATCCATCTTCTTCTCCTTAATCCATTTCTGGGTCAGGGGGGTGGCAGTTGGAGCTGTACCCAGTTCACAGAGCACCAGCCCCTCACTGATCCTCCTGCAGGTGGTGAGTCCACAGGAGCTGAGATCTTCCAGTGGGGGCTTCAGGCAAAGTGGGGTTAAGTGTCTTGCCCAAGGACACAACGACAGCAGACATCAGTGGGAGTCGTGAAGTAGGTCTCATGGTGGGCTCGAATCCACAACCTTAATGCACAAAGGCCAATGCTCTACCGACTGAGCCACTGTCGCCCCCCAGTAAAACTCAATTGGTGTTAAAAGCCAAGGCGTAAAGATATAGAGATTTCAATGACTAGATTTTCTGTATTGTGTATCAAATGTTACGTTTGTGTGTCCTTTCTGTAACACAACGTCATGAGTCGAAGGATATAAGAACCCTCTATCCTGGCTCCTCTCAGCTGACAACAAGGCTGATTCTGTGTCCTTTCATTCTTCCTCAGATCTTTCCTGAAGACAAACCAAATTTGAGTTTCTCCAATGAAACTGAAATACACATTCACTTTTGATGACACTTTACTCACATCTCTCATTAGGCAGCTCACTTTTACCCCTGCTGCTTTTGTTGTTCACTCTTACATAGTATGATGGGGGGGTGTCCTTTAAAAGCCACGCTCACAGTAACCTATAAGTGTGTACAATGTTAACGCTATTAAATATGCATGCACGCTCAGCAAAGCAGCGATATTATAAATTCTACCCTCATACTGAGAAAGTCCTCAGCCAGGGTCAATGTTTATACAGCCCACTGCGCACAGGAGCTGCTATAATGACACTAATCGCCCGATATTTCCTTAGTTTTGTTCTAAGTTATGCCTGACCCATTTTTGATCAATCAAAATATACATTCCAAAGTCGTAAGAAACACAAGATAAACATATGTTATCAATGAAAGCGGTGGATTAAACGGTTTGTCATTGGGATATTGGATAAAGGTCTGCTGCTATTTTCAATACTATCAATATGTTTTTATTATTATTATTATTATTAATGATGGATATTAATGACAGAAGCTTTATTTTGATGCTAATTCGTCACATTTGAAGTGACTATGCTCAATATTGAGATGCCATATCTATCATGTATTGTTGTGGAGGTTCTTTCTTGTTTGTGATCTGAAGAAATCGCTGGTGTATCATCCAATGCTGTACCTAATGACATTTGCACAATGTAATTAAATGGATATAAAAGCCACATACAATGAAGGGGATTGTTTAATTAGATCATTTGAATGGATAGCAGAATAGTCATAACAACACAGGCTGGATACCGGCTCCATTGGTGCATAAAGCTTAATAGTCGTGCTCTAAATGACTTCTTTTCAGACATTAGATAGTTATTCAATTTATTTTGTTTACACTTTTATGTTAATGCCATTTTTACTCCTCTGTGGTTGTCTAATGTGGAGTCAGTTCCATCCACATGATTTAGCTTCTTAGAGTCATCCTTTTTTGAACATCTGAAACACTGTTGTTATTGTCTGAACTGTCGAGAGAAATGAAACAATTTTGCATGGACTTTATCATCAAGTGACAAAAGTGCATAGATATTCAAAACAATGGGTGAATGAAAGCAGTTATAGACCACAGCAAAGTGGGTTCTGCGTCTACAGACAGAATGGTCAGACCTCTTTCCCCTTGGAGAGTTCCACTGGAGTCTCTTTCCTTCTGAACTTCCTTGAACAGACGGCTTGCCAAGGAGTGCGAATACGCTGAAAAATATTCAATCAGAGTCTTGTACTCCGTCTCAGGTCCATCTCTGAAACACACAGCCATCACAGAACCAGTGGATTTCTGCAGAGACAGCATCCACAGCTGAGGTGGAGAGAACAGGACTGAAGACAGGAGAAGATATAGAGAAGATTCATGAAATAGATACTTGCCATTTTCTCATTCAACACACATTCAAGTGTTTACAATGTCTGTCAATTGTTGAAAGGAATTATGGAGGGAAAAGGCTAACTGTTGAATAGCAGTGTAATGGTATGTTATTATTATATTGTGAAATTTGCTAATCCATAACTAACAAAATATTGAACTGGTTTGGTAAATTAACACATGACAACAACACCAATGTACGCAGGACATGAGCTGTGGTACCAAACCTTTTGATTTCTTGAATAATACATTGTGTTTGTCGTATGAGTCTTAAAAAGAATTCATTTGGAGAACAAATCATACCACAGAGCCCAAACCTACTTGGATGTGAGAAATAGAGAACCAAATGAGGGACATGGATTTTTGAAAATAAAAATAAATAAATAAATCTACTCTTAAACTGCCATTGGATGTGCGTGGATCATAAAACTTTGAACTAAAACTGTTTTTCTATAATTACAGTATACAGGTGTTTTCACTTTATAGAATCAAATTAAGTGGCAAACTGCTGCCGGCTCATTACTGTTATGTAATGGTGAAATGTATTATACAGAGGCTACAATGATAGTAAAGGCTATTATTTCAGGTGATAGCTTAACTGATCCTTTTCACCAAGAGGGGTCAATTGAGTACTGCACTTCACCGACACAGAGTCTAATTTAACTCTCAGATGGTGCATTAGCCCCATCTGGTGGCTGAAATTGTGTAGTACAAACCCTTAAAGGCAAGTTTATTTGTACAACATAAATAATCCACCTGGATTTGAACATTTTCAGAGTAGTAGCCTGTCTCACATTTTCAGGAAGACTGTCCATCAAATCAATAATGCCCTTCACAATATGGTTACATTACCTTTTAGCTAGCGTTATATCTATACCACTACATCTACAGCACGTTTATGACCTTAAATGGCTCCAAATCTTTCTCGGCAAACACAGACAAAAATGAACAGAATCATATTGCCATTGATAGACATGTAGTGACAGTTGCATTACATTTCCCCGCTTCGTTGTCTTAAGGCAAACCTTCTTGTGGGTTTAACCGTCAGTGCTTTCAGGTCATTGGTCAACTCAGCAGGGGTGGGCGTGTCTTCGTGCGTGTGACTCGCCTGTCAGACAAAAATCAGGGGAAAAAGTCTCCTGTAGTTCCACATAGAAACGGAAGGCTGCAGCTGTACAGTGTTCCCATGGTGTGCCTCCAGTCAGCCTGCTCTACACGTGCTTCTGCAATAACAAGAACTAAATGTTATATGTTCACTTTACCTGATTTAGAGCAAAATCCTGCATAATTTGCTAGTTTTAAAAAGGGGCCAAAAGTCTGTTCTTGTCGTGGTGTGAGGTAAGGTGTATTTTGGTTGGAAATGTGATCATAGTGTGTTAATAATTTAGCTATGTTATAACTTGAGCTAGTTTTGTCCTTTCGTGTGAATTGTCGATGCTGATGCTGGTGTGCGTGTGTGGGCTCTGTGCAAAGCAGGGAACAGTGTAGAGTAGCACCATCATTTACCTAAACATGGCAGCGTGTTGTTGTTTTGCGACGTTACCTCAGATTGACACATGAGAAGATTATAAAGTCAAGGTGCTTCCCGCCAGTAGATTTTGTGTTTGCGCGTTGGGGCTTGTACATAATAGTACAGTACAATACAATACAACTGAATTATTTTATCTGTACTATTTTAATGCACTGTGGCTATTTATAATTTTAATCCCATGTGTGATATTAATGTCTTAAGGTTTTTAACTCCTTATGTGATATATATATATATATATATATATATATTAATATAATATAATATTAAATATATTTGTTGTGCTCTAATTGTTTGTGTTTTAATGCCCTGTGGGATTGGAGTTGTATTTTTTTGTATGTTTATGTAGATTTTAATGATTATAATTTATGCATGTTTTTTTTATTTTTGGATAGATCAATTTATTCTCAAGGTAATTCTAAATTCTTTACAAAACAAGAGTAGAAAGTAAACATAACATTATACACAACAGTATCATGTGTATCAACAAGCATGTTCCTTGGATGCACAGCTAAACAGAACTGTTTGAGAACCTGGATTTGAACACTCAGAGAAGAAGCCTGTCTCATATTATCAGGTCATAATTCCTATTTTTTACGACAACGCCCTTTAAACACGTATCTCAAACTATCTGAGAACCCTCTATATCATAAACACATGTTTGGACCCTTTATGTCCCTATGGCCCTGTGGTTTTGGCCTCTGGCAACTCATTCACTCAAATTATAAGTGGTATCAATCGCTGCGCAGTGAAAGATAAAACTCTAAATGCCTAAATGTTCCATAGTAAATATAAGAGGTACATTCCTGTATATTTACCATGAAACATTTAAGCATTTGACGGTAGAATCCAAAAATGGGTTTGAACAATTCCCCGTTCACAGCTGCAGCAAATGTCACTGGAAATGAGTTGTATGAACCTGCAGTAACGCAAAATGCTCCCGGCAGAACCCCTGTGAAATCTCATGGAACTTTCTTGCAAATTTTTGGGCTTATGTTAAAAGAAAACAAAAGTTTGCGTTGACTCCAAATAAAAGGGAGGACACCGTTTTAATTATACTTTTCTCTTTTCCAGGACTTTGATGGTTTTTGTTTATCAATTGGCTGACAAAATACATTTTGGGATTTAAAATGGGTACCAATTTTCCAGTTTCTCAAAAACAAAAGATTTTGCTAAAACTCAACATAACTGACCATCCATCCATTTTCTACCCTTTAATCCATTTCTGGGTCAGGGGGGTGGCAGTCAGAGATGCCACCCAAGTCTCATAGCACCAGCCCCTCACTGACCCTCTGCAGGTGGTGAGTCCACAGGAGGACGGCTGCTCTCTGAGTGTGAGCATAGCCTTGATCTTTCAGTGGGGGCTTTGGGCAAAGTGGGGTTAAGTGTCTTGCCCAAGGACACAACGACAGCAGTCATCAGTGGGAGTCGGTGTTAAGGTGGGAATTGAACCCACGACCTTCAGGCCTGAAGGCCAATCCTCTACCAACTGAGCTACTGTCGCCTCACATAACTGACATGTTAGAATAATCTTTCTCATTTATTACCCTCTGACGGTTTTGAACAAACGAAATTAGGACGAGAATACAATATAACAGCTCAGGAACGATCAATTTATCCTTACTTTACTCATTACTAATCTCAATGCGTTGTTCCTGATTAAATACATTTTTAAAAAGACCAAATTTAAGTTAAGAGTTGTGCTCATGTCAATCCTCATCTATTCAAATTGAGTTTTTCATGCATGGTTATAGATAAATATGACGATGCTGGGGACTGCTGTACACACATGAACACACACATTTTGTCACCGACTCCTGTTCCTGTGGCTTTTCTTTCTTGGTTAGCATGAAGTACATTTTGGTCACTGGAGGAGTCATATCTGGCATTGGGAAAGGCATCATCGCCAGCAGTGTGGGGACCCTTCTCAAATCATGTGGGCTTCATGTCACAGCCATCAAGATCGACCCCTACATCAACATAGACGCTGGAACATTCTCGCCGTACGAACATGGTGGGTTGAGTTTTGCATTTTTTCTGCATCATTCCTCGCTCATTCAAATATCCTTGGATTGTAGGTGAAGTTTTTGTCCTCGATGATGGTGGAGAAGTAGATTTGGACTTGGGGAACTATGAGCGTTTCTTGGATATTCGACTCACCAGAGACAACAACCTCACAACAGGGAAAATCTACCAGTCTGTGATCACTAAAGAGAGGCGGGGCGACTATCTGGGAAAGACTGTACAAGGTGTGTACGACGTTTACTTTAGTTTGCTCTCCTGCAGCTGATGAGGGGCAAAATGAAAGCCCAGATCAGAATCAGAATTATTTTATATTGCCATTGTAACAGGAATTCACAAACTTGGAATTTGCTTTGGCGCAAGGTGCAAACAAGTTATAATGAGTAAAAAATATATGTAAAGTCATGCTAATAAAATCTTAATACATTTCTAATATATAAATGCACACAGCAAACATTTAACAGTGCTGGTAAGGGCCCAGAGGTGTGCATGAATTTCAATAAACCTGTTCTATAAATTCTTCATTATTCATTAATCATGGAGTTAGATTTGACTTTTTGAGGATTGGCATGGCTGAGCACATCTCTGAACGTGTGACTAAGCATCAAAAAATGTAGCAATAATAAAAGTATGAATACACTAATCTCAAGTTCCTGAACTGTGATATTGTGTTTTTGTTGTGATCTTGTTTGTTAAAAAATTTCACTGGGTAAAAGGGAAAAACTATTCTAGCATGTTCTGAAGCGATTAGGTCCATTCTACTTCCATGTCTTGTCTTAACTGCTAATAATCATATGTATATTTTTCAGTGGTGCCTCACATTACAGACGCCATCCAAGAGTGGGTGATGAAACAGGCCAAAGTGTCGGTGGACAGTGACGGTGTGGAGCCTCAAGTTTGTGTTGTCGAGGTAAGTATTCATTACCTGGAGGTTTTGAGAAGATGCACGTTCATCAGCCAGCGCTTGTGTCCACAGCTGGGGGGGACGGTCGGGGACATCGAGAGTATGCCTTTTATCGAAGCGTTCAGACAGTTTCAGTTCAAGGTGAAGAGGGAGAACTTCTGCAACATTCACGTCAGCCTGGTGCCACAGGTAAGGCTCTTTGTACTCTACTGACCAGCCCTTTATCGTATTTACCCCATTACAATCAACGAACAAACCAAGTCTTCTCTGGTCTTTCCACACCTGTGTGTAGGGTTGTATTTGTCTGAAATAAATCCTGATATTTTCATTGCATGACTTCCAAAAAAAAAAAAAAAAAAAAATGACAGCCTAACACCACAGGAGAGCAGAAAACCAAACCAACCCAAAACAGTGTGCGGGAGCTTCGAGGCCTGGGTTTGTCTCCTGATTTGGTAAGTTATATCACAGCTCAATAAGTATCATTCACTCAAGGAAAAGCAAACTTAATCTGCTTTGAATTACAGATTATGTGTAGATGCACCACACCCCTGGAAACTGCTGTAAAAGAAAAGATTTCTATGTTTTGTCACGTGGAGCCTACACAGGTAATGGCTGGTTATGGTCCCAGGCCTGATGCAGGTCACTGTGGCAGGTGTCATGTTCTCCTGCTTGTCCATGTTTTAGGTCATATGTGTTCAGGACGTGACATCGGTGTATCGTGTGCCTCTGCTGCTGGAGAAACAGGGCGTAGTGAGTTATTTCTGTGAGCGGCTCAACCTGCCTGTCGAAATGAAGCCCCTAAGAATTCTCTCGAAATGGAAGGAGATGTCAGACAGGTGACTGCATGTTGAGTGCATACTAAGTTACTATTGACATCAGATCTGGTAGAGGCAGTATTTTCCGGACTATAAGCTGCACCTGATTATGAGCCACAGTCTCTAATATTTAGTAAGAAATTGAATTTTGTACTTGTACAAATTGCATGGGATTATAAGACGCACCTGTTAATGGAATAGGCCACCGTTTTTACATACTGACATATGTTCTTACCTTAGACTAGTTGATATGTACCTGTCTGGTCTTTGTCCGTGCGCTCTGTCATGCAAACGGAGCACAGCAGCCTCTTCCACAGACTGTATAGTACCAAATCAGCTCCTGTTAGAAGCTCCCAAACTCTTCCACGTGTTCCCTATGTAAATACAGTTACGTGACGTGTTACTCTACAAAGCGCACTAACTCCTAAAGACTTCTCTCCCACGCACGCTGCTTCTATTGACGGAAGTGAGCGGGAGAGAAGTCTTTAGGAGTTAGTGCGCGGACGTAGTGCTCCTCGTATTATTACGCCTCACAATATAGTCCCCCTTTTTATCCGCTGAGAAAATCGACATGTTACATTTCTGTGTTACTATACTTTGTAGTGTAACGCGTCACGTAACTGTATTTACATAGGGAACACGTGGAAGAGTTTGGTAGCTTCTAACGGGAGCTGATTTGGTACTATACAGTCTGTGGAAGAGGCTGAGTTTGTGCTCCGTTTGCAAGACAGAGCGCACGGACAAAGACCAGACAGGTACATATCAACTAGTCTAAGGTACGAACATATGTCAGTATGTAAACACGGTGGCCTGTTCCTTTTAATGATATTGAAAAATGTAAATGTTCTTTTTTTCTGTAAGAAGTGAGTCACCAGCTGATGTTAAACTTCCAGTGTGAAGCAGAAAAAACTACTGGAACTAAAAAACACTTTTATATGAGATATTTACACAAGGATATTATGAGTAAGGACGTTTTTAAACTTCATTTAATCCGCTTGGAAACAAACAAATATATATTACAAATGCTTTTCCTCTAACGGTGCCTGTAACCTTTAAATAAACAGTCTCGTCTTCTAGTATTTTCCATGTTGGATTATCAATCAATCAATCAAAGTTTATTTGTAGAGCGCCTTTCATACACAGGGCAACACAAAGCGCTTAGAGGTCAATTTATCTGACCTGTGAACTACTCATCAGTTCTGTTGGTCTACTGTTGTACTTGGTAAAAAGTTATTGGCACCACAGAAAGCCAGTTCAAAGTGAGGGAAAAAAAGCTGCGGCTTATAGTCCGGAATTTACAGTTCTCACTCATTTTGATTGTTGTGGATATGCATAAGGTAAGATGACTTTTATGCGTCTCCCACTGGGGTGCGTCTAATTGCATGCCAGAAACGAAATAATCTGCTCATGCCGCGGTCGAGCATTATGTGAAATGAAAATGTTAATAATAAACAATGCTGCGTGATGTATTTACCAAAGGTGGGCTCACACTGAAGTCTAATCAAAATCAAATAAGCATACAAACTTTACTGACCAATTATTGAGTTTTATGCAAGAAATGTTGGTACTGTAAAGTACTGTTAATTGTGTCATGACCTACTTTTTTTCACTTATTGATCAAAATCAATAAGATTTTTTTTTACAGTTAATACATAAAACAAATGTCTTTGGGTTTCAGTGAGTCAATGCATTTGGAATGTTTTTGATACGAGGAAAAGGTGATGAGCCATGAACCATTGTTGTTTTCTGCTGTTGCTACCTGCCGGGGATTTGACCTCAAGTGATTTATTGTGTTCCTTATTTCAGGTCCGACCGCCTACTGGAGTGTGTTTCCATAGCACTGGTGGGAAAATACACCAAGTTGTCTGACTCCTACACCTCGGTCATTAAAGCCCTAGAACATTCTGCACTGGCCATTAACCACAAACTGCAGGTCAAGGTAAACAATTAAAACCTCATCAGGGTTCCCTCGCTTTAACTTCATGGTTTACCTTTCGTGGCCTCGCTCTTTCCTGGACTTTATGTGCAATTTTGCTTTTTTTTTTTTACAGCATATTTCTCATGCACCACTTGTATAATCAAACATTATATAACCGCTGGCCTTTAACGTGGCCTTTATCTTTTTGAAGTCACAAGAACAAAATTGTGGTTTATGTGCAAACTAGGATTAGTTCAGAGGACGAGGTCTTCCTGTGGCCCTCAGTCCGGCTCCTGTCCCTCAGCCCAGTGTCCTCTGCAGCTGTGATTTACAGTGTATGCACAACTTTTGACAGCTGCAGCAGCGCTCAGACCTACAACCAACAGGTTTGATACGATCACACTTTAGCAGTCATGAGTTCAGTCGGTTAGAAAAGTGTATAAAGTGTGGACCACTGTGTATTACCAGATAACCAGTGGCGGCTGGCTACATCTATTCAATATTCATGTAATTGAATTTAAATGTGTTTTAAAGGAGACATAACTTGAAAATACCTGTATATTTTGTTGGTCCACTGGGCCTAGTGCGAGCTAGCAAATCAACTGAAAAATATTGCCCAAGTCAGGAAGCAGGACCGGCACTCTTGGCACTCTTGGCATCAAAACTAGCCCAACTAGGATTCTTTTTTGGCAAAACCAGACTCTGGTTTCATGTTTGTTATAGTCATAGCACACAATGTTCTATGAGTCTTGAAAATCAGTGAAGTCATCATTAATAACTGGCAGTCAATGAGTCAATGACACAATACCCTACTGAGGATATTAAAAATGCCATGGTGTGATAGTTTTGACATTAAAGTACACACCCACTGAATTGTAGCTCTTCATAATCTATTGTTGTTTTTGCTTTGACAGTACATAGACTCTGCAGACCTAGAGCTGTCGACTCAGACGGACGACCCAGTGAAGTATCATGAAGCCTGGCAGCACCTCTGTAGCGCTCAGTACGTAGATTATTATGATTTAAATGTGTTTGCTCGCGGTTTCAGCAGGGTCTTGAAAAGTGAAATTGCATCTTGGGACATCAACAAAGCACGTTTCTGGTGAACTGATTAAGACCAAGGCAAATCAAAAAGTACCATAATATAAGATAAGAAAAAAAATAGACTTTATTGATCTCACACAGGAGAAATGTACATATCACATCTGGTATGGATAGAAGTTCTCAAGAAGAAAAAAGAAGTGTGCAAACATGTTTAACCTCGCTTCCTGCAGAATCCCTGTAATAAGTTATTTGGATATTTTTCATGTCGTTGCTGTTTCAATTTGGGGCTTCAAGTAACAATTAATTTACTTAGTTTTCCAGTTGCAACAGTGACATTTTTAAACCAAACTTATGATGAGGCAGAGGCTGTTTTCCATGATTCCACATGGAGGCAGTGTGGACCAGCCCTTGTTGTCACTGCTCGAGGCTGAAGTGAACCTAATTCTCTCTGAAGATGCATATTAAGGCAAGGAGCTTTTTATTTAATCAGGGCCAGGTGGTTTTCTTTTGGACTCTTAGTCTCTCTGCGATTTATGATACTAAACAATGGTCGCCATAAGCTGTGCAATTCATCATAGTATCGATCTGTACAGTAAAATCAATCCGATGATTATAGAAAAGGTCTTAAAGAGCACAGGGCTTAATCAACTTGACTTTGAAGATGTCGACTGTACATGGAGTGCATTGGATCTGAAAGGACCACACCGTAACGTGCCTGACATTTTACTTGCTTATCCAAAGAGTATTGCATCAAGAAAACCTGGGCTGGAACCTTGCCAACCAAAAAAAATAAATAAAACCTTCTCTTCTGCGCAGTAGTGAAATCAATAACTTTAAAAGTAAATGTGATTTCCAGAGCGTCTGTCGTGGCGCACCAGAAAATCAAAACACAGCAACGGCAAAAGCGTTTTGATTTAGCCAGTGATGTGTCAGCAGCGGGACTCAACAGTAACTGATGTGAAAATAAAACGCTTGACATAAAAATGGAGGTGAAGGAAAACTAAGATGCAATATCCAAGCCAAGCCACTCTGACAGCCGACAGCGACCGGGGGAGGATGAGGAAGGCCTTCAGGAGGATTTAAATGAAATAATTGGGCGAGTGGCTGTGGCAGGTGTCCAGTGAGATGCTAGGTTTGACGTCCACATTGCCTCGGGTGCTCCACGCTCTGCCTTCTCCCGGTGCACACATCATTCACATACTTTTTTGACCAGGAGAGAAACTTTCTGCGGTGTTGTTATTCCCATATCGACCGAATGTGGAGTTTGCTGAAGGTCGAACAAGTTGAAAAAAGCAAGTTTAGTCAATGTGTATTATATTTTCTCTCGCAGGGGAGTGTTGGTACCTGGAGGCTTTGGCGTGAGAGGCACAGAAGGCAAGATGTTGGCCATCAACTGGGCAAGGAAGCAGAACAAGCCGTTTTTAGGTAAGAATTTAAATAAATCTGTTGCATAAGATTAAGAGATCCTTCATTCGTCCCACAGTGGGGAAATTTCAGCGTTGCATCAAAAGTTACAGAACAGTAGGAATGAGGAGCACACAGCACAAGATAAATGAACAATAATTATACTGATTAAAATGAAATAGAATCTCTAACCCTAGCATCAAAGACACACGTATAACATCTCTATCTTCAACATAATATAGAAGTATAACATCTATTTCTAAATTTCTAGAAAAGTGCCTATTGGTGAATAGGGTCGTGCAATAGGTATTTAGAATGTTTACATTAATTGACACAAGTGTAAATTAATTACACAACTTCATGCTTATAAGTATGTATTTTAGCACACCCTTAAAAATGTGAATATATTGAAAAACTTATTTGAACAAGACTATTTGCTTTTCAAAATAACTTGGTACTAGAACTGAACCTGGACAGAGGCTTTTTAACATATATTTGAAATCATCACTGTCAATAGACGTATTATTATTATTATTATTATTATTATTATCACCAACCCTCCTCTTGCATAAAACATGGCTTCAAAACTAAGATTTGTTTTATCCGTTTCTTTTTAAGCTCCTATTATTAAGCTCCGTGTACATTCATACCTCCTTTCATCTCACAATGGCCTAATTGCTCCACTCACAGCCTTCAAAGTTGCCCAATAATAAAAGGATTTTGACGGTTTGTGATACGAACTCTCGGACACGTTTAGAGCCAGAAAGAACCTCGCCTCGTTCCGTCCTCTCTTATTTACCAGTCTTTGCAATTCCACTGATTTTGCTTTTGCCTCGCCGCTTTTGTCCGTGCGCAGGGGTCTGTCTGGGCATGCAGCTGGCCGTGTGCGAGTTCGCCCGCAACGTTCTGGGCTGGGAAGGTGAGTGATTACCCGAGTCTACGCACCCCGCTGCTGCAGAGAGGCCTCCGCTCCCTTCACGCTCAGTTTAATGATGAAAGCAGTCTGGATTTGTGGTTTGATTCATTTGATCTTCTTTGGGGTCGTTTTTTTTAACATTTCTTTTTTTTTTTTTTTTTTTTTTTGCTTACCTCCTTTTCAGATGCCAACTCCACAGAATTTAATCCCGAAACCAAACACCCAGTGGTAAGTGATCTCCTTTATACGCAGCGCATGCTAGCTGCAGCCGCCTCGACCGGAATAGCATTAACTCTGGGCCTTTTGATGTGGACAGGTGATTGACATGCCCGAGCACAACTCCGGGCAGATGGGAGGGACCATGAGGTTAGGGAAGAGGCGCACCATTTTTACCTCCGCTAACGGTGTTATGAGTAAGTGTGCGCCTGTGTGTACCTCAAGCGAATCGCAAGAAGAATTTTTGAAACTCTTTTGAAGTTCCCAGTATTGATAGGGAACTCTTTGTTGCAGGAAAACTATACGGGAACGTGGAGCATGTGGATGAAAGACACAGGCACAGATTCGAGGTGAAATTGCTAATCATATTTACTGAATGATCGTAACAACGGGAAGATTTTTATCCGTCGCCTGAATGTCATCAAAGCGTTTCAAGCCGTAATTGGGGTTCTGTTTAGGTGAACCGTGAGCTGAAGCACCACTTTGAGAACAAGGGCTTCCAGTTTGTCGGCCAGGATGTGAACGGGGAGAGGATGGAGGTTATCGAGTTGGACGGTAAGCTCAGCACCGCAAAGAGCGATCAAAAATAAGTCAAAAACTACTCAAATTTGACAACCTCTATCTTATATTGAGCACATTTTGACAATGGGACAAGCAAAACGATCCTGTTTTAAAAAAGATACAAGAATACTAAATAGCTTCAGACAGTCACAACGGGCTATCATAATAAATAATAAAAACCACTCGATTCAAGCAATTATTACCACATCTTTTTTTTTAAAAGAATTGCAGTGTGTGTTTGTTGTGTGCAGTTTTGGAATCTTAATACAATGTCTGTGTGTTTTTTGTTGTTGTTGTTTTAGACCATTGTTACTTTGTGGGAGTGCAGTACCACCCAGAGTTCACGTCCAGGCCCATAAACCCCTCTCCGCCGTACTTTGGTCTCCTGTTAGCCGCAGCGGGGAAACTACAAAGCTACATGGCCAAGGGCTGTCAACTCTCTCCAAGGTACCGTCTGTTCGCCATGTCCGGTTTCTAATTCAAAAACATAAATAACACGGCACATTATATGGAGTGAAGATGCAATCCCTCAGTTGTATGCACAGCTACAAAGAACTGTTTTAACCTGGTTTTAAACATTGTCAGAAAAGAACCCTGTCTCACATTTTCAGGAAGACGGTTTCAGATTTAAGCAGCATAAATCTGAAACGGTGCCTCCCCATGTTTAGTCCTGACTCTGGGCACCAACAGGAGGTCACACATAAAAGATGTAGACGTAATTTTGAATGAAAATAGTAAATAATAGTTCAAAAAGAAAACCTGTATTCCTGATTTATTTTCTAAAGTGAAAAACGTTCTTTCCATTTTGGTGCATGGAATTATGAATGTTTATATTTATAATTTCTCAATGTATTGCTCGATTATCACTCAAAAATAAAACGGCAATCGCCAGATAAGTATAACATTTAACACAGTAGCAAATCTATTCCAGGGGTCATTTTGTGAATAGTTTCTTTCTTGACGCTCTGCAATAAACATGTGTTTTATTATTAATCATGTGCAATGTTCAATACTGCAATTTCAGAATGATTAAAATGAAATAGAATCTCTAACCCTAGCATCAAAGACACACGTATATCATCTCTATCTTCAACATAATATAGAAGTATAACATCTATTTCTAAATTTCTATGATTTCCAAAGATCTAGAAAAGTGCCTATTGGTGAATAGGGTCGTGCAATAGGTATTTAGAATGTTTACATTAATTGACACAAGTGTAAATTAATTACATACTTATAAGCATGAAGTTGTGTATTTTAGCACACCCCTAAAAATGTGAATATATTGAAAAACTTATTTGAACAAGACTATTTGCTTTTCAAAATAACTTGGTACGGTGGCTGAGTGGATAGCACTCTCGCCTCTCAGCAAGAAGGTCCTGGGTTCGAATCCCGGTCGGACCAGGGCCTTTCTGAGTGGAGTTTGCATGTTCTCCCCGTGTCTGCGTAGGTTTCCTCCGGGTACTCCGGTTTCCCCTACCACTAAAAACATGTCCAATAGTTCTAGCATGTGCCTCCTGTACTGGCGACCCCGCTCCCATCTCTGTGTGGAGTGAGAGACAAATGCCCAAAATTAACAATTGTAAACCGCTTTGAGACTCAGATCTGCAGTGAAAAGGCGGTATATAAATAAAAACTTACTTACTTACTTACTTACTTACTTACTAGAACTGAACCTGGACAGAGGCTTTTTAACATATATTTGAAATCATCACTGTGAATAGACGTATTATTATTATTATTATTATTATCACCAACCCTCCTCTTGCATAAAACATGGCTTCAAAACTAAGATTTGTTTTATCCGTTTCTTTTTAAGCTCCTATTATTAAGCTCCGTGTACATTCATACCTCCTTTCATCTCACAATGGCCTAATTGCTCCACTCACAGCCTTCAAAGTTGCCCAATAATAAAAGGATTTTGACGGTTTGTGATACGAACTCTCGGACACGTTTAGAGCCAGAAAGAACCTCGCCTCGTTCCGTCCTCTCTTATTTAGGTCACACATAAAAGATGTAGACGTAATTTTGAATGAAAATAGTAAATAATAGTTCAAAAAGAAAACCTGTATTCCTGATTTATTTTCTAAAGTGAAAAACGTTCTTTCCATTTTGGTGCATGGAATTATGAATGTTTATATTTATAATTTCTCAATGTATTGCTCGATTATCACTCAAAAATAAAACGGCAATCGCCAGATAAGTATAACATTTAACACAGTAGCAAATCTATTCCAGGGGTCATTTTGTGAATAGTTTCTTTCTTGACGCTCTGCAATAAACATGTGTTTTATTATTAATCATGTGCAATGTTCAATACTGCAATTTCAGAATGTCCTCTGAATGTCACTTTATCTACTATTTATACTGCCCTTTATGTAAATAACTTTACTCTGTATATATGGATGGAGATATATCGATATATTGATATTGTAGCATTTATAGCTAGCTTCCAATGTGGTTTTACTGCAAAAGGCAAAAAAATCCTTGGATCTTGAATTTATTAGGGAGGAGCGTTGCACTAAAACTCGTGGATAACGTCTTGAAAGTGTCCTGGGCTTCTGTTGCAGGGACACCTACAGCGACCACAGCGGCAGCAGCTCTCCGGACGAAGAACTGTCTGAAGTCAAGTTTCCCCCTCTGTCGTGAGAAACTCTCCAACTGTAGCCACAAAACCACAAGGGCCTGATGGTACGAACATGTATGATTGAACCGTGAAAAATCAAAGGCTTTTGACGCTCTGCTGAGAAGAATGTATCTCTCCTTCACTTGTTTTATCATCCTTCTGAGACTTGTTTCCTGTTTTGTCAGTGAGAAAAGAGTTGCTGACCTTACCCCACAATATTGTTTTTATGGCTGTATGAATGTGGATGTAGGGCTTACACATGAATATATATATGCTCTGTTTGACCTGCAATGTATTTAACCAGGGATATTTGTGTTTATCTTTACCCACAATGCATGACCTCAGTGTTTCGAAGCCATTTCCTGCTTATATCCACACATTTTGTTTACATATCGGTCACCCAGCATCACGCACAGAGCGGCAGGTCAAACTCATCGAAAACCAAAGCCAAACTTATTTATATGGAAAAGGACTATAATCATGCAATAACATGTCACCTTATGTTTTATGTGACCAGATCAAATACCTTGTGTGCTGGGATTGTTGTTTTGAGTATTATAAATGCTTAACTTTTTCTGGACTCATGCAAAATATATATATATGTATAGATATATATAAAATTATGCTTGTTTTAATGGAGTATCCGTGTTCATTTTTGAGTTGCGTCTCAATATAAGTACATTTTGAAATCGATTTAAGAGATGAAGAGATCCTTTATTTGTCCCACAGCGGGGAAATTTCAGTGTTGCATCACAAGTTATAGAACAGTTAGAGGAAAGAGGAGCACACGGCACACGTTAAGTGAACAATAGCTATACTAATACAAATAAAACAAAATCTCCAACTCTAGCATCAATAAAAAGTATAAAATCTCTATCTTGAAAATAATAGATAGATAAATAGATAAAATAAGAGGCAAATATAAACTACTGTGTAATCTAGTGCAAGTAAAGTGTAGTTATCTGTTAGTATCTGTACATTAGCAGCAGTATGTTTACAACTACATTAGCAGCAGTATGTTTACATCTGTACATTGGCAGCAGTATGTTTACATCTGTACATTAGCAGCAGTATGTACATTAGCAGCAGTATGTTTACATCTACATTACCAGCAGTATGTTTACATCTGTACATTAGCAGCAGTATGTTTACATCTGTACATGTTAGCAGCAGTATGTTTACATCTGTACATGTTAGCAGCAGTATGTTTACATCTGTACATTAGCAGCAGTATGTTTACATCTGTACATTAGCAGCAGTATGTTTAAATACACAACATTGATGAAAACTGCCTATAGAAAAGTAAGATCTGTATCTACAATAACATATATATATATAATACAATATATTTAAGATTAAGATGAAGAGATTCTTTATTTGTCCCACAGTGGGGAAATGTCAGTGTTGCATCATAAGTTACATAACAGTAGGAATGAGCCGCACACAGCAGATTAGTGAATTTTACAGCACACACAGCTATATACAGTACGTCAAATTAAAATGTTATTCTAAAAATTATCTTTAGCTTAATAAAGAAACGGTACATGTGATGTTGGAGGCTTTGTAAATAGAATAATGAACAGGAAGGACCGGGAAGACTATGTAATAGCTAATGGTTGGGGATATAACTAGAATAAATCTGTATTTATAGATTATACATTATGCAAAGAAATATTCAATAACTGCAGACAAACTGGGTGTTATGGACGTAGCAGTTGCGTCCAAAATGTCTGGAGCTATTAATAGTACGAGCCTAAAGAAATTGGTGTTTGAATAGTGCCCCCTTCACTGGACAAACAAACCAGAAATAAACAACAGTGGGGGCTGTGGACATTCGCTGGTAACGGCTGCGGACATTTTGGGTATTTTTTGTGTCATTGACCCACACGTTGGTATCGTTTAGTTTGGAGTGAGCCATATATGATAGATAATTCCCCTTTACCTAAAAGTTATTATGACATGTTAACAAAACGCTGGTGGACATTGAGGTTGAGTGGTCTTTAGTGTTTTAAATATATTCCACCATGAAAAAAATGGATATAGTTCCACCTTTATCTTTTACACACATCATGGAACAATGTCTGAATGTGTGCTTGTCGTCTGACCTTCCCGGGAGATTTGAACTCATATGGTGCCCACTTTCCTCTCTTACAAAGAAGTATATTTTTAAACCATAGTCGAACGTTGTGCCTTTCATGTTGTGTGTTCAGTATTTACCAGGAAGTGTGTGTGTGTTTTCACCGCTCCCATCACTTCCTTAAACTCTAGCTCCATTCCTCCTCCTATTTTTATATGGGCCTGTGCTTTTGTGTTCTTGTGATCAAACCCCGCCTTCTGTCAAGTAATGACATGCAAACTTTGGAAGTGCACAGCCTGGTTCACAAATGTACGTCTGCTGGAAATGGGACTTGGATTTAGTGTTCGTGCACATTTAAGAGAAAAGCAGGATTCCTAAACGGTAGAGGTTCAGTATGTCTGCCCTTGAAGACAAGAATGTTTATTTTGGATAAGAGCTGTGAACTGATTACACGCTGATTCAGGAGGAGGGTGTGGAGTTTGTCAACAGTGGACTCAGCTATTTGGAAGTTGGTATGTTGCCTTTTAACAATCCCTTTTACACTTGTCTATTTGAGTGTCTTTACCCTGCTCTGTGTGTTTTATTCCTAGTTCTCAGAGCCTTGAGTCCGAGCGTTTGTGATGGATCTGACCCTGTGGCAGTACCAGTTCAGGATCATCATGCTGGGGGACTCGACAGTGGGGAAGTCGTCTTTATTAAAACGTTACACTGAAGATCTGTTCCTGGACACCATCAACCAGACGGTGGGCGTCGACTTTTACGTGCACTTCCTGGAAGTGGAGCCCGGCATCAGAGTCAAGCTGCAGTTCTGGGACACGGCGGGACAGGAGAGGTTCAGGTGATGTGAACGATGGCCGTACAGAACACCTACATGTCTGTCGCTCCATAAAGAAGCTGACATCATGATCTTATTAGTTTTTCTGGTTTATTTAGTTATTGGTGATACTGATATATACTTTTATCTACGGGTCTAATAACTGGATAGTTATTAGTATTCTTCTAAAGATGCAACACTTCCAACTGCAGTTTATTTGGAGTTGCAAATGTTTTTTTGTCTTAAAATCCACTTGCTTTTCTTAATTACATCAACGTATTGAATTTTGTTTTGGCTGTGAGAGCATACACACTTTTGGGACACACTTCACTACTCAAGCAGTATTGATCTTTGTAATAGTTGCATCAGAAGATAAGAAAAGTCCATAAACTGCTAAACAGAGTCAAACGGCGGCAGCAGAAGCTCCTGCAGCTCATGCAAATCTGGAGAGCAGCAGAAGCTCGTATTTGTTTATCCCTTCTCCATATGCAGAGTAAAGACAGCACTGGACATGGGAATACATAGTTATATAGTGTTAATTTAGTTTACAAATCTGCACACGTGTGGTCGAGCGTGTACACATCCACCATGAACTGCCACTGCTCATTTTAACGATACACTTATGTTTATGACAAATGAGATGCACCTCCAGAAAAGCCAAACCACTTCACAAAACTGAGGTTATGTTTGAGAACTTAATCTATAATGTCACAAGTTATTTTGAATGTTCACATGAGACACGTTTAGCAACAACGGAGCTTAAGCACAAAGACTGACTACAATGTGGAGGGAACCAGTTGCTCAATTTGGTTACAATACAAGTCCACGCCAAGTACAGTCAAGTCTTTGAGCAGACATGGTCAAAATATAAGTGTGTCGTAAATGTAAATTTCTCCAAGGTAAGAGTGGAGATTATTTGCTATTATAAAATTATAATATAAAATTATATATGGAATGTAGTAAGAAACGGTAAGTGCATTTGTATAAACTAAACAAAACAAGGCATTGATACCAGTCCATATAAGAAAGAGCACCACACTCAAGACCTTAAACATACGTTAAAAACCTGGTTATTGGACAATCAAGATTGTAACCACTCATGATGTTACTTGCTTTTATGTTTTGATGACGTGTTTCAAATTGTAATGTTTTAACTAGTTACTTTTATATTGTAATGTAATGTAATGTTTGCAGTGCACTTTGAAGGCATTTTACACCTTGCCTAGGGACTACAGTTGGAAACTTGCTGTTAGCTAATACTGACACATTTACAGCAATGTTGATTCATGTGTATCGTCCCAATTCAAATAAACAAATAAATAAAATATCAATTAAAATGAAAGATTACAGTGCATTAAATAGTGAAGATACAATCCTTCAGTTTTATATAACTCTTTCAGGACACTCAGACACTTCACATGTCATTACTCATTCATTCCATATACAGAGTTGTGATTAACTACTACTGTAGCCACAGATGCCCTGGGGCAGACTGACAGAAGCGACGCAAGCAGTATGAGCCATGAGTCCATATTTTAGCTGCATAAATATAAAATGCTGCCTCCTCATGTTTAGTCCTGACTCTGGGCCCCAGCAGGAGGCCAGTCCCTGTGCTCCTCAGAGTCCCAGCAGGAGGCCAGTCCCTGTGCTCCTCAGAGTCCCAGCAGGAGGCCAGTCCCTGTGCTCCTCAGAGTCCCAGCAGGAGGCCAGTCCCTGTGCTCCTCAGAGTCCCAGCAGGAGGCCAGTCCCTGTGCTCCTCAGAGTCCGAGTTGGTTCATGTGGGACTAACATGTCACAGTTGTACTTTGGTGTGAGGCCGGAGAGACTTTTACACTCATTACACTCACACTATTTTCTAAAAGTCTTTCTTGTCATCCTCAGGTCAGTGACTCGATCTTATTACCGCAACTCTGTGGGAGGACTGCTGGTGTTCGACATGACCAGCCGCGCGTCCTTCGAGCACGTGAAAGAGTGGCACGCAGAGGTGTGCGAGCGCGTGCGGCCTCACACTGTGGTGTTTGTGCTGGTGGGACACAAGGGCGACCGCGAGGAGCACGGGGACAGAGCCGTGAGCAGAGAGGAGGCGGAGAAGCTGGCCGGACACTTGGGCATGCCGTACGTGGAGACGTCGGCTCTAACCGGGCACAACGTGAGGCAGGCGTTTGAGATGGTGGCACGGCGTGTGTACCAGGGGCTGCTGAGCGGAGAGGTGCAGCTGCAGGAGGGCTGGGACGGGGTCAAGTGTGCCGCCCCTCAGGCTCTGCAGATCCGGAGGGCCAGCATGGCACGGACCGCCTCCAGAGACGCCAAAGAGAAGAAGTGCTGCGCATCGGCCTGAAGACGCTCAGAGTAGAATATTGAGAGTGTAACGAGCGGAATCATGTGTAATATAGAACCTTTTGTTACAAGTCTGCAAAAAGTTATGAGATATAAGTCAAAAATTGCTCAAATTTGGCCAATTGTATCTTAATTTGAGCACATGTTGACTGGCTTAAACAAGATTTGCCAATGGGACAAGCAAAATTGTCTTGTTTTTAAAAGAAGTCATGTCTTTTGAATGAGAAATAAAGCTACAGTTCTTGAAATACGACTAAACAAATCTTGTTTTAGGTTTCAGAATGTACTCAGATTAAGATAAAAACAGCTCAATTCCAGCAATTATTACCTCATATTTTATCATTTTTGCAGTGAACACTACTTTAACCACATTTACTGTACTCGAGATTTGACAAAATGGTTTAAATTGTTTGTTTTTTGAGAGTGGTAACTTTGTCTTTGTAAAAATGACTTATAACGGATCGGCCAAGTTTGACTGTACTTTTTATTTATTGGACACCCACCGAGACCTGTAGTTATAAAGATAAAGGGAAAGAAGTGAGAGCTGTATGTATTCTGCTGTGATAAGACAAGAATTATACAAGTTTGATTTAAACTGTATTTTTTTCATCTGTCAAAGTTGGAGAGTGTGTGTTAGTTAATTATTTGAGTGAAAAAGAGTGTTTTTTTTTTATGTTTGGACTGCAAAAAACTATAGATTGGAAAATCTTTTGTTCCTGGAGAGGATGTAAAGTCCAGTAGGGGTATTTTGTATTAAAATGAGTTTGGAATAGATTTTGTTCTTTTAATTAATTTTTTATTAAAACAACTACGGTACAACTTTCAGGATAATGGACTCATGGGTACTGTAAAATATATTTGATGGGCTCTGGACACTTTTTAAAAATGTAAAAGCATAATATTGAGCTGTGTTGTGAAATATTTCAGTGTGAGAAAATGTACAAAAATAAATGGATCACAAATTTGCTGTTGTATATTTTTTGTCAAGTGAGATGCAGATGGACACCATATAATCATGAGCAAAAACATGATTTATTCAGAACAAAACTGCACCACACGGGTTTAGATGTACAGTATGTAGGCCTACACTGGTCTTTATTCTGTTTATATATTTATATACAGAATATCCTTTAAGATGGTGGTGGGAAACTTGTTTCATAAAAGTGTTTCATCACATGTTAAAGCTGCAGTTTGTGTCAAATTCATTATAGGACACATGTGGACAGGATGTTCTTGCTGAGAAGCGAGTGATAACCACTGCGCTGCCCAAACCTTTTTACGAACACAAGGTCTCCTAGAAATCAAACTTCTGGAACTCCCAAAGGCATCATTTTGACTGCTCCCGTTTAAATCAGAGGAATGACCCTAGAAGTTAGTTTTATTAGATTCAAAATCTTTTGTAAGATTGTTACTTTTACTAACTTTTAATAATTGCTAAAACCAGTGAATAGAAAACATTTTGGTGTAAGAATAAATGCTGACTACAATAAACAGTGTGTTGCTATGGTAACCAGCAGTTGCTCTTCTCAGATGGAAAATCAAACCAGGATGAATACAGAGCCAGTACCGTGGAGAAAAAGGGGACTGAACAGCCATAGAAAGCAAATGTATAAAATGACTGCTCTGGGATCTAAAAGCAGAACTACTCAGTTAAAGATATTTGCATAACTATAATCATCATAGAAATGTACACGTAGAAACAGTCTGTACCTGGGAAATTACACGTCCAAAACTAAAAGCCGTCAAATTGACTGGAGTCCCGGCGTTAAACAACGTTAGAATACAGTAAGTAAAGAAACCACATTATATTTGTATTTGGACATCACCCACAATGGCCCATGTTACTTGATTACTACATAAGTGGGAGAAGATTGTTGTTAAATGTCAACGTCATGGATCAAACACCACAGTATTTTTAAATAGTTATAATGTATGAAAAATTGTAAATAATCATCATGTGGAATACCAGTCTGCATTAGCAAAGATTTATTGGCAAAAAAAAAATGCAGTCATTGTGTTGTTCTGTCAGGTACACGGAAAAATACGTTCTTAAAGGTTTAGTACACAAGACTTTGTGTAATGGTGGTAAAAAAACAAACAACAAAATGTATTTCATAACTCTAAATGACAAAAACAAAAATCCTACCCAAACCACATTTTTCTTCATTAAAAAAAAAAGAAAACAAGGATTTAAGAAATACACAATAAGTTCAACAGAGTAAGGAACAGTCTTGCTACTTTTTGGTTGTCTTGCGGATCAGTGCCATCCTCTGAAACAAAGAGAAATTAAATTATTATTAAATGAATATTAGTTTGGTTTTATTTTTGCGAGGTTAAAACCAGGTCCGGTCTACTTTACCTGTTTATGTGCCTCTGTGGTGCAAGCTTTCTTAAATGGCCGTATCTCATCTGAGCCGTAACCAGGAATCCACATGTTCCACTGGCGCTCTACGAAACAGCACAATGTAAACACAGAAAACATACTTTGAGAGAAATAATATCTAGATTTTAATATGACTCTTCGATTGTACTAGACTGAATAATACATCATCTATAACCAGTCCCTAAGGTTTCTCACTTTCTACCACTGGGTTTTTATCCCTCCACATTCAACAACGTTTATGGACATTGGTCTCTGCCCCTTATGGACCAATGGCTATGTGTATTTTATGATTAGATTTCTTGTGTTGGAACTGTTGGACTCTCTGATCTGTGTTGGCAAATTTGACAGTTTTGTAAAGTCCTCTGAGTGTTGTGATCTAGGGCTATACAAGAACACATTGAATTGAATATTATACTAGAGTCAAATGTACATGGTCAACCAACATTACTAACAGTATAACAACGGTGTGCAGAAATGTACGACAATTGTACGTAACCATTTTGATAATGAAATCTGTTGGTTATGTTTAATGTTTGTTGAACTCACCTAGATGTAACTGAACATCTTTCACCTCCAGGGTGTTGGATTTGCGATGGCGTGCCAGTTGACAGGCAGCAGTCACTACACTTTCAATGAAGTCATCAGCAATTTGCAGCAGCATCTTTGAGAGAAAAGGGAATAAAGTGATAAGAACACACTTTAATGACACGTGACTTCAGAATGTTGGTCAAAGTGAATAATCGCAGTTATTCAAAAATTGTAAAGAAAGTTCAAGATGAGCAGTGTTTTAAAGATACAGACTAGAGAATGTGCATTTGTGACGTCTTTGTATCCTGCCACAACAACAATGCAACATTTGCTCCAAAAGCCACCATTAAGAGAAAAGACCAAACACAGACCTCCTCCACGTCTTCATCCAGCTGCTCATTTGGATCAATTTCTCTGACCAGATCCTGTAGTTTCTTTTTAGTGAGAACCTGCAGAGAAATCATATGTTCAAAGGAAGAAGATGGAAAACTCTTCATGTAAAATCCTGTCACAAAAACTACTCCATTGACATCCCATATACATTATATAATAGGAATTTAGGATACCTAGAGGGGAGGGGGGAGAAAATATCTTGCATATAGATTAATAGATTCTTTTTTTGTCCCACAGTGGGGAAATTTCGGACAAGATTAACTGAATGAAAGGAGTAAGACACATGTCCTCTGTCTCCCAGATGAGTTGCACTGTCACATGATCGAAGTGTCAACATCAGAGATTAGGGATGTAAAAAACTATGAATTTTCATGACCGACCACCGAGCCTCATTAACCGGTTGAAACCGGTTAACCGCGTAGTTTAAAATAGTCCACGTTCTTTGAAATAACAGCCATTTCGAGCCGCGTACTTTTCATAAGAGCAGCTGAGCGTTCTACGGGATCAGAGCCGAGACAGCGGCATCAAAACCCGCAACAGCTTCGGCACCTTTGCGCACAGATAACTGCTGTTTTAATCTTCCCATTCTTCTGTGCTGCGGCTTAAAGCATTTTTAAGCAAAAGACAGCTCGTCCACATGGTCAGGGCAGCGAGTGACGAGCCGCGTCTCGCAGGTCTCCGCTAAAGTTTAAAAGTGATCAGTTTGGAGCTGATGCCAAGGACCAGCAGCACAAACATGGTCCATGTGGTTTGACTGGAGCCGTGTATTTGCAAAAATGCTTTGGGCTCCGTGACACAGAGGAGCGCGACAGACCGGTATGCGTGTGTGTACAATACATGTATGTATGTGTGTATATGTCTGTGTGTGTGTATATGTATGTGTGTGTGTGCAATACATGTATGTATGTGTGTGTAAATATAAGCTCCAATGTAGTTCTGACCCGCACCAGTGTGCAACTAGCAGGCGGTAACACAGGGGAGAGATGATGCGTGTGGATGTTACGTGTCAATGGAGGGGGGGAAAATGTGTGTGTGTGTGTGTGCGTGTACATGTGTGCGTGCATATGTGGCGCGTACGGCGTGAGAGTCGGCCCAGAGTTTACTGTTACATTGGCGCACACAGCTAGATAGGGACCCGCTCGTCACATCGTGCAAATAGGGCTTAAAATAGCGTTATGAAGAGACCTCCCCTCTCCCCCTTTTCTCTTTTTTAACCGACAGCTTTGACCGGTTAACGCTGTGACGGTCAACCACCGGTTAAACGGTCACCGATTTACATCCCTATCAGAGATTGAGTAAATTTGATTTGGCAATCTTTGACCTTTTGTTTTCTTGGCACAGCCTTGTTTCAGGATGGCCTATTGTGCTTTAAACATTAATTTAAAATAATGTGGGGACACGATAACTTGCTCTTGCATTTAAAGCCCACAATCTGTCTATAAGTTAAAAAGATACAAATGCAGCTGCTTTTCTGCAATCGGTCTATATTTAATTGTGTATCTTTCAAACTGACTTTTTTGGATTAAGTGAAGTGGATGCACAGAGTCGAGTAGGTAAGACACTGCGGTGGAATAGGGACCTTCGAGTATCAAAACATATCAGGTGCTCTATGCATATAGTTCTTGTACTATAATTGGAAGAAAGCCTATGGTCAGCATAAGATGGCAGACCCGAGGTAAATGGCCCTTTATTGAAACTCAACAAACTAAACTAAAAGTGTGATCTTGGTTTAGAAGGACAATAAATCTTTCTTCCGTGATGAAAAAGTATTTACAGCGGCATTATTGATGCACTTACTTGGGAACCCTCTGGGCTACTTCTCCCAGCAGGACCAGCAGCTGTCAAAACCTTCAGAGCTGGAGTAGTGCTGTTCGCCATTCTGCAAACGCCACCAGTCTTTGCTCCTCAGCGACTTTATGGAAATGTGTCGGATTGGAAACTAGTTGTCAGCCAAAAATGCAGATGTGCCTTTTACAGATGCAAAGTCCGTAAACCTAGAAAGAGTATTCATGTTGGTTAGCATAGTTTAGCATTAGCAACAATACATTGGACGTTCGTCTTCGTACAAGAGCGATTTTATCTAAATAAAAATATCTAACCCGTACTGAAACATGCCAACAGCTTTGACACGCTTCATCTAACACCAAGCGAGGCGAAATGTAGTAGAAAGTGTATGTAGCATTGGTGCTAAAAACAATTAGCATTAGCCACGAATGCTAACACACGCGACGATTCCAAGGCGATAATCCGGAGCATATTTTTAGGGCAAGTGTTCAATTCTTACCATAAAATAAACACTATCTGTCCATATTTTGCTGTATTCGCTTGAAGTGTGTCCTGGTGTCACTAAAAATCAAACAAATGCCAAGAAAAAAGAAACAGCCTCGGTGCTGTTGTTTTTCTGTGCTTCCGTTCTCTCAGCCTCAGCCTCAGCCTGGTTTCCGCTGCTCTGCCCCCTGCTGGCTCCTGTGAGAACTGACCCACACACTCAGAACTGATCCAATTATAATCATGTTTGTTTAAAGGTTTTGGTTCATCTTTGAAGTGAACGTGATGTGTATTCTCAATATATGATTCTGCACTCACACACACACACACACACACACATCCATGACACACCCACACACACCTAAACACAAGTAAACTGAAAGCATAAAAGCAACTATTTTATTAAATGTGTAGCCTAATAGTGCAGGTGTGTAGTTTAATTTACTTCACATACAAAATAGATTTGCAAATAGGCAGATGCAAAGACTATTCAACTTTTCCTAAAACATTTTGTGCACTATTTGGAGTTAACATGTGTATGACCCAGAAGGCCATTTTTTAATATTTGATATCAAAAGATTCCTCACAATTATAGGATCTTTATAATATTCATTGGTTATGACATTTTGAGTCATCTTTTTCAAAATATGAGGAACATTAATCTATGGATACAATTGATAAACAATCTAACGTTCAGCGAATGGACAATGTTATTGTGTCGTTGTCATAAAACACAAGACCCTCTGCCAGCTCTTGTTTCACTATCAGTCAGCATCCTTCTCTAGATCAGGTTAACAGAAAATCAATCCGATGTGATGTCAAGCGGCCACAGCTTCTGTGTCAGGATATTGTGAAGGAAAATGGACCACAACCGGTTATAATTTCATTTTGAAGTGTTTATCACTCTGGCAACTCTTCTTATTTGTCATCACTCCCGATGGATTGTTCCTGCGTAGAAACAGGTGATGTCACACACAATGTTGGTGCGTCTTTTTTCACCACTGTATTATAAACATGTTATTATACTCCAATGCTTTTCATGCTTGAGCTGGATCGATGGTGTTGTCAAAAATGATTTGATCAACGTGTTGGTCGATTTGGTACAGAAATAAGGCCAAGATTTCAGGAGTTCCAATAGTACATTTATTTCTCTTTACAATTAAATGTTGATACAGAACTCCCGGAGCTACTCCCTAAATCTCTATCCCTGTGCTCTCACTTTCCCAATGTGTCCTCCCAACGGTTTTATCAGAATCCCCGATGACGTCATATGGTCTCAGGCTGGTCCCAGTCTGGTTTTGTCTCAGGCCGCTAGAGACACGCTGTTCCTGAAAATGATACTTTTATCACAGAAGCCTTTGTCCTTGGTGCTTGTCTGAATTCCATTAAATCCAGGCTTTAATATTGCACAAAGACATGTTTGCAAACAGACCGTAGATTGTTTACGAGTTAGTATCAGGATTAGGGTGTGGCTAACCACACCCATAGGTTATAAATCTCCAACGCGCGGTCCGAGAATTCATTCCCTGAAGAAGTCCGCTAGGTTGAGGACGAAACGTCGGGAAAACTTGCTAAGAAGTACAGATGATGGGTGAGAAACCTTCCTTTGATTAGTATACAACATTATAATTCTACAACAATGGTAACACCAAGAACCCCAGTACAGCCACTTCACACATCCTGTATTATCCAAGCTCATGTGTTTACTTTATCTTTCTTTACTTATGAACAGGTAAAACCAAAAGCCACACCTCCTCTTGTCCTTAGATAAATAAGGAGCCGGCGCCCTGTGTGCATGGCTGAAAACTGTGTTATTGTCTACAGCCATGAAGACTCTACTGGCAACATCGGTCTTCGTCCTGATTCACTGCTGCCGTGGTAAATTTTTCCTTTTCAACAAACCACAAGGAGATAAAGACTCGACACATGTGCTATTTATTTTCTTTCTCTTTCTGTTTTTTAAATCTTTGCACTTATATTTTCTATGTGCGTTTTTCTCATTTAGATTTAGTTTTCTTGCACTCTGGGGAGCGTTGGTTATTTTAAGGGCCTCTTGAATGTGTTTATGTCTGCCATGCTTTTAAATGTTGTAGTTGTATATGAGCATAACTTCTCACTGTCCCCTGCCCTTATGACCGTCACTTTACTGTCACTACAGGCACTTTACTGCACTGCCAAACATCTATTGTGTGTAATTTTTGTTTACACCGAGAGCCAAAGCAATTTCCTATAGTTTATGACTTCTTGGTAATGACAATAAAAAATAATTCTGATTCTGAAATGTTCAACACAAATACATATATTATTGTTATTGTTATGGTCCAATTGTCCACTGCAAGATACTACTAAAACAACAAAAATGTTCAATGCTGTGATGTAACTTTTCTCTGTCTTCTCCACAGCCATTCTGCTCATCAGAGGACACCCTGAGCCTGTGTTGGCTGGTGGTCCTTTCAGAGTGGAATGTCTGCTGCAAAACTCTGAATACAGCATCAGCAATGTCCGAATGGAAACATATGTAACTCAGTTTTATGTCTTCAAAAAAGACTTCTACATCAAAGACACATTTTAATAAAAGGTGCATCGGGTCATTTCATCATGAATTGGATCAGTTTCAGATAACTTTGACAAAGACCTGATTAAAAAAGGTCAAAGTGAATTGATAAAAAGAACCCAAAAATGCAGGACTGAAAAAAAAAAAGTAATTTACTGAAATCGAACCAACTCCAGGGTAACGCTAACACACAAAAATATCAAGAATTAAAAACAAGTCAGGAACAAGTGTGGTATAGACAATGAACAGAGACAAAGAAAAAGCACAAAAATAAATCCAACACGTTATAAAAGTCCACATCATGACTAAAAGTTTGGATTGAATATATCATTTCCTTCTCTCCTCAGCGGAACAATGAATGGGAGGATGTTCGGACGGACTTTTGCGTTTTCCCAGTGTACGCTGCTCAGACGGAGGACAAACTGGTCCTGGGTTTTCACTTTGTTTCCGGAGAGAGGATCGGACCTTATCGCTGTGTGTTGGACGGTCTCAATGTGACGACTCCAGAGTTCACCCCCCCACTGAACTTCACCGTTCACTGTAAGTATAGTTTAGTTTTTATTTCAAGCACACGATGCTAACCCTTTTTCAACGTCTTAACCCTTTAATGATAATTTCTCCATTGTGAGATCAATGTCTTATCTGATCTTAGATTTCAGTTACAGGCTGCAAGTGACTCAAAAACTGTTTGCAATGAAAGAAATGGAGAAAACTCTGAAAACTGTGTTCTTTATCATTTTGAACTGACGCGTTTCAACAAAAGTCTTCGTCAGGGCCGTGAGTGTCGCAGCTGGCACTGTGTTGATTTTAAGGCGTCATGGGAACACCACATGACCATTTACAAAATACATAAAAGAAAATGAATTAACCCTTGTATTATGTTGACAAAATATGACATTGTTTATGTTGCGGGTCATTTTGACCCGTACTGTGTAAATGCACTCAAAACAGTCAAGAAAACAGGTTAAACCAATAACAACTTTATTTTAGGTTATATAAATATTTAGAAAAGTGACATACAATACATTTTTAATTCCAACACTATATTTAAGAAAGATTTTGTCTAATCTTCTTGTCCTCCTCTCGGGTCAAAATGACAATTCTTCCCTCCTTCTTTCCTCCTGCAATGCTTTCTCCTTCCGTCTTCTCATCCTGTTTTCCTTCTCTGTTCATCCTCCTCTATTCCCTTCTTTTCTCTTCCTTCCTTCCTTCCTTTCTCCCTTCTTTCCTTCCTACCTTACTTCATTCCTCCCTTCCTCTTTCCTTCACCAAAGATTCGTCCTCTGAATCCTCCTTATCGTAGGAAAATTGACAATTTGGATCAGCAATAACATTGTCCTCTGTCTCTGAAAAATCCTCTGTTTCTGAAATCTCTTCCTCTACATCATTATCCCAGTTATAAATTTGTGAAACAGCCTCCTCAGATGTCATCCTTCTGGAGCTCATTTTTGGTGAGTTTGTACTGTATAAAGCCTAGCGCACATCGACAGAGTAACTGGAGACAACTAGTTGAAGGCGGCTTTTGGCAACTGAGAGTAGATGATGGAGATGATCAGTTGAAATAGGTCGATGTGAGCGCTCTTACAACTGGAGATAAACATTCGATCTATGGATTCAGTCAGTTGCCCGTGTTCTACTTATCGGCAACTAGTTGTCCTCAGATCCGGAGATATCACCCGATGTGCTCCAACAACATGTGTGTGTTGTGTGTATAGCGCCCTCTACAGTTTATGTCAGAAAACACACTGTAGTTGAGGCCAGTTGCTGTCGATGTACGCGCTGTTATTCCTGAGACTGGCCTGATACTGGGAGTTGCCCGTTTCATGTGTGCGGGGCAGCAACTCATAGGCAACGGATATATTCAGTTGTCAATCCGATGTACGCTAAGCAAAAGAGATGACATGAGAAAGTTCCCTCTCTTCACACACCTGACTCTGGGTCTCAGAGGCAATCAAAACACAATGTCAAAGAGACATGTTTTTTTGGATCTGAACAACTATTTACCCACATTAAAGCGTCTGGGTCAAAATGACCCGCAACATCATCTTTGTATACAAACTCTGCACAGACATTCCACTACACATCAAAGTGTCCAGATTTTACACACCAGTTCATGACCCTAGATGAGGAAAAGTCACCAAATTTCAGCTAGAAAAAGAAAGGATAACAAGTACTTTGATCAACACAAAAACTGAAATCGGTCAAATTGACCCTGAACATAATACAAGGGTTAAATGACTCAAAAACTGATCCACCAAATGTTTTAGGAAACCATTAAAGAGTTAATATTATTTTACCCACTATTCTATACAACAAACAAACTTATATTTACCTTCATTTTTCTAATGTTCAAAAATAATCTTTTCTTGAATTGTGTTGTATTTGGTCATAGTTTGTGCTGCTCAGGAAAACTGTTCCAGGGTTTCAGTCCTGGTACAAAAACTCAAACACTGTGAACTATTGGTGAAATGGTGTTGAAATTTTGTTTTCCTTTCAACACATACCTTCCCTCTGAGTAAATAACATGTACATTTTGAGGTATATCATTTTGTCCAATATAGAACCGGTGGTCTGTATATCTCAAAAAAACAAAGGGGAAGGAGTGCTGCGTGGTACAAGCGTGTGAAGTTGTTTAAAAGACCAGGTGCTCAGTTGGAGGAGGGTTTTAACTTTCTAAGCTCTTTATGATTTGTCTTTACCAGGAAAGTCAATACTCCACTTTTTCTTACAGTGGTCTGTATATTTCACTAACTTGGATTCCATGAAAAATAGATGTATACTGTATATTCAGTTCAGCTACAAACAGAACCACAAAATGTATTTCTAGTAATGTGTACTAAAACAGCCTGAAATACTGAACACGTACAACAAATATAGTTGAAAAGTAGAAATATTTTGAGAGACCGTCACAGTGTGAATCTCGTGTTTGGATTCAAGTGTTCCAGATTTTACAGTGAAGGATGTCCTAAACCAGCCATTCCCAAACTCAGTAACACCGAGGCCCCCTTAAAAATCTGACGGGTCTGCGTGGCCCCCCAAAATAATAACCAAGAAGACAACATTAAGAATAGGCTCTTCTGGTTATTTTATTTTGGGGAAATAGCCTCTGCTACAAACATTGTAATACAAAAATGATTACAGTGGATTATTAAAGTCAAATAATGAACACAAATATTTTAATATTACAAACAAAACATTATAAATTTAACATTAAATAATTATATATTTTTTTTATTTTTTTTATGACCTCCCGCGGCCCCCCTGCAGTACCCTCGCGGCCCACCAGGGGGCCGCGGACCCCACTTTGGGAGACACTGTCCTAAACGCTTTACCCTTGGTGTCACATAGATTATCTGCGTCCTCTATCTCCTCAGTAGCCTTCAAATGGAGCATAATGCCGTTTGATGGGCCCCTTGGACTCATGCGGAGGATCAATGTAAGGCAAAGATTAGAATGGACCAAAGGCCTGCAGAGATGAGGAGTTCAGACGGACAAGGGCCATCTCTCCATATGGAGGACAAAAAAAAGCCATTATTCACAACACAGCCTTTATAAAGACCACACGGAGATGAAGACTTTTATTGATTGCTCAGTAGAGACACCACCACTGGGGGGAGGTGTTGGTGTTTTCGGGTTGTGAAATGTCAAACTTTGCAGTGTCTAAGTCCTATACTTCCTTATAAAACATGATATATTAGATATTTAGCAGCAGTGTCACATGGGGAAAACAAAGGAAGGTCTAAAAAAATCTATGTAGCCATAAACCATTTCCTCCTACAGGACTCAAAATGTAAATTAGATTTAAGATCCTTCATTCGTACAATGGGGAAATTTCAGAGTATAATGATTTTGTAATAAAATGAATGTCCAAAGTGAGAATCAAACAAAAAAAAATCCAAAACTGAACAGAGGAACTGAGAAAAACACAGAGAGAAATACTTATGACGATAGACAAGCAACAAATGTAAGGGTGCAGGGTACATAACGACACAGAGACACAGTACACAATTGGGTGAAGCTGACAATCTCACATGGGAACAGAACAGGAAGTCAAACTAAAATGTAACAACAAAAGAACTAATATCAAAATGAATCCAAGATCAAAGAACCAAAACAACAAAAATCCACACCTAGGTAAGGGTTATGATAACTTTAACCTTTTGAAATACAAAAAGTCAGAATATTGTTGATTCCAAATGTTCACATGCCGTCCACTCAGCCACTCAGAGTCAACACTCACTGTGAAGGAAGGGGGGAGCATCCTGCTGTAGGTCAGGAGCCGTGGATAATAATCATACAGAATACAAGCGGTCCCATTTGACCCATTCTTGGTTACCTCTATAGGGCGACCTGTCAGGAGCAGTGTCCACTACAGCGCAGATGTTGAAAGTCTATAAATTCGTTAAAGTCTATCTTATATTGATGCTTAACATTAAACTCACCATACAAAGGCTTTGGTCAGCCTGGGAATCAAACCTCCACCCTTCTTGCTGTGAGCTACTGTGTTGCCTGTGGCCATAACACAAAATGCCAAGATAAATAGGACCTTGTGTTTTTCACCTGAAACATTTTACCGTTTCTGATATTGATTATGATTACTTGAGAATACTGCCTGCAGTCACTCACGTCCTAGAACACCAGCAGTATATTTTTACTGTTTCAAAATATTCTCCTGTGTGTCAGACTTATATGGACCATGGCTGTCTGTGGAGGGCTACCCCCGAGATCTCCTTCACTCTACACTCACAGTGAAACCAGGAGACGATGTGGTGGTGAACTGCGCTTCCAAGTCTTCGGAGGAAGCGGACTTGTACTGGTACAAAGAGGTGAGGAGGCCAAGGACACACACATGGTTCTTTATGTACCTGAGTAAACCTCTCTCTGAATGACATCTGTGTGTTTTGTGAGCTTGTTTGAGTCTGTCTGTGTCAATGTGTATGTGTTTATATGTCTATGTGTATGTGAGTCTGTATGTATGTGTATGTGAGTCTATGTGTAGGTGTATATATATGTCTGTGAGTGTGTGGTCATGTAGGTGTACAGTATATATGTATGTCTATGTGCATGGTGTGTGCGTGTGTATTTGTGTGTATGTGAGTGTATGTGTAGGTGAATATATGTATGTCTGTGTGTGTCTGTGTGTGTAGTTGTATGTACTGTATGTCACTGTGTATGTGTGTGTGTATGTGTAGGTGTATGTATGTCTACGTGTATGTGCGTGTGTGTCTGTAGTTGTGTGTGTGTGTGTACGTGTATATATGTACGTTTATGTGGGTGTGTGTGTGTGTGTGCGCGCGTGCGTGTGTGTACATGTATGTTAGTGAGTGTGTGTGTTTGTAGTCGTATAAACAACCTCCCATCTTTGTGTCAGATACAGGCTTACAAATATCTGATATAAAGTAAAGGTACCAGTGTTTTTTGAGGACACAGAACCTGATTCCCAGTAAACGATGGAGAAACGACTGGTATTGTTCACACATCCCTGAAACCCTCACGTGTTCCTTTGTGTACCTTCCCCTCCTCAGAAGTGCTGTGTTGTTTAAGTGACCGGTGGCTCAGGTCGCTGGGGATTGTAGCTTGCCCACTTACACAGGATTAATAGTTTAATGAGGTCTAGACAAGAGCCAGTCAACCTGAAAACAATTATGTGGATAGATGCCTAATGATTTTTGTAGTGTTTGGTTAACCACCATTGAATTATTCAACTGGCCTCTTCTCTAAGCTAAGGAGCCCACGCCCTTGGGAAATTAAGCCAACTGAGTGAAATGCCACAGTGACATCAGACAAGTCAGACAAGAGGAAGCTAATGAGTAGGAGACGGCGTGCCCTTGTGGTTGAGAGGTGACACTACACTTAATCACTATTGTTGCTCAGAGCGACAGGTGAAACGGCGCCAGCAGCATGAAAGAGGGAAGTGTTTTGGGAATAGTCAGACATAATTGGAAACTTTCGGCTTTTTGTTATTCTTTAGATGAGTTCATGTACTTTGGTTAAGGGTCACTGCTAATTTGTAAGTCTCTTTCAAAAGGCTTACTACCCCAATCCTATTCAGTGCAATGCATACTATTAATTATTATTGAGCAGCCAATGTATAACAGTGAGAGTCAGAACGATAAGCTCACAGGGGAAGTTCCCTGTTAAGACACATGGTTTAGAGCAGGGGTGTCAAACTCATTTTGATCAGGGGCTGGGGAAAAGGGATTTCCTTGTCTTATAATGTTTTTTTTTACATTATGAAGGAATTTTGCAATTTCTTTTTTCATGAGCCTTAATGTTTTGCTATTACTTTATGGATGCTTTTTCAGAAAACAAAATGTGTAAATTGTTTAGAATGAACTAAAACTGGACCAAATATTGTGGGGTTAAAATCTTATAATTAATTCAATTTGGTGGCTTTCCTGAGAACACCGAAGATGTATGGCATGCCTTGGTAGCCCATTACCATCAATGCTGCAACTTAATAATAATAATAATACTTGAAAATCATGTTAGGGGCCACTAAAAATGGTCTTGCGGGCTGGACTAGAAACCACCTTTGCCCATGTCTATTAAGAGCTCCTCTACACATTTGTCAAAGTGCAGTAGTTTTGTTGGACAGGACACATCATTGGGATGACCTGATTATCTGGGCTCTTGTCGTAGCATGATTCTAGAGCAGCACTTGCACACCGCCCTCTCACTGACAGCGTTTGGGAGCCAGTAGATTTGCATACAGAATGCTGCTTTGGCCAGACCTGCCCTTTATGGGAAATCCTCTTAATTCAGATCCATTCAAAATTAAATGGACTTTGTTGGCAGGGACGTCAGCTCCCAGGAGCCAAATCATTTGCATGGTGTAAAGTCTATTTTGTACTCTTCCTCTTTGTTCGTTTGTTTACCAATCCTTGTGTTTGGCCTATTATTTGTTTCCCCCACGTCGGGTTCTATCTCATAATGCCGCTGCTATTTTTGTGTCAACCGTTCCTCTGCTCCCCTGCCATCTCATTAAGTTGTGTGTTAACTATATAGTTCCACATCGCTTTTCGCGGGTGATGCTCTTAGCGGGTTGCTGACTTGTGTTGATACATGCTATTTCACCCCCATTAGAGCCCAGGTAAACAAGCTGCTTTTGGAGAATGAGGACAAATTGTTCCTGCTTCACTTCGGTGCAGATCATAACTTTTTGCAGTCGTAAAACAAAGCTAAAGATTAAAGTATTTTCAGGACGATGACTGGACTCTGCCATCTCCTGCACTCGCTCTGACCCATGTGAATGCTAGTGATGAGGGCAACTACACCTGCTTCAGTAACCACCCCACCATCCCCTCCCTGAGCAAGAATCGCACCATCAACCTCACTGTCCCATCAGGTAAGCACTATGGACCTTTGCCATTTCCAGGGTAATCGGATAATCGGAGCCAGACACACTATGGTATGACGGCAATTTAGTTACTCTTGTGTGGAGTTGCTTATTTTATCATGCTTAATAAGTAAGTTTTTATCTATATAGCGCCTTTCACAGACCAGAGTCACAAAGCACTTTACAATTGTTGTGGGCATCAGTCTCTCACTCCACACAGAGATGGGAGCAAGGTTGTCCTAATAACGAAGAGCTTTTTGACAGCTCCTTACAAAGTTGAGACCCGGTCGAGTAAAATATATTATTTTATATCAAAAATGTAACAGTAAAATAATTATGAATTGACTAACTTGATACTTCTGGTAGTGTTTATTGTATTATTATTATTATTATTATTATTATTATTATTATTATTGCTACTTCTGTTCCCCTCACATACATAGTACAGACACACACACACACACACAGATTCAGGTATTCTGGTTGTTAATATTTTCTGCGACACTTTCTGACTAAACTTTAAGCCGTGACCCTGTGTTATTTGACACATATCGGGAGGGCGTGTTGACCTGGGACAACAGATGGAAAGGTTGGCATGTTGTTTAGACTTGTTTCGGATTTTTGCAAAGGGGAATACAAGAAAGAAAGTAAAAGGGTCTTGTCCTAACCCTGTCAAAATAAGTCTTCTATAGTAACAGGGAATCACATTCAAATAAATCACGTAAACCTTGCGGACAATATTTGTACAGGAAAGAGCCCAAACATTGATGGTGTCAAAATGACTGCTGTATTCAGTGAGAAAAAAGCCTCCTTTAGCGTAGTGGTCGCGGGGCTAAAGTCTGAACTGGAGCCAGTGAGGAGGAACTGTTTAGTCCAGTGACCTGGAGCCAACCAAGATCACATCCTCACAGTTTCGGGGAAATCCAGAAATACAGAGTAATAATGAAACAGAAAGTGAAAATCTGAAATCCTTGAAATTAAAACTGAATGAGATTTCAGGGTGATATTTGCTACTTCATCAAGTTGGACTAAAAAATGTCAGCACCAAACCAGGCTCAGGGTTTCACCATTTGCAGCAGGGTATAAGGACAGTGATGATCCGGGACATTTAAGGACATTTATTGACAAAATGTATGGACAGTGGTCATCCCGCTCCCTGTTTGTTTGATTCTCTGATTGGTTGTTGGTGAATTGACAACATTTCAAAGTCCTCCAAGGTGAGTAGATAGAGAGATAGATAGAATAGATGGAGAGATAGATAGATAGATAACAATAGTAATAAAATGCCACAGCACTTAGGTCACAGCAGCAGAGATGGTGTAGCCGCTGATTTAGGGATATACAAAAATACATTGAATTGAATTGTTTTAATAAAATCTAGACAACATAGGATTCTGTCGTGATAGTCATGTGTACCATCATAACAGAATCTCATCTTTATACAGAGCCCTAAGTCATAGCTTTAGGGTTGGGGATGGAAACACACATTGAATTCAATTGATAGTTCAAATCACAGTTGAAAATTCAGACAGATTTTTCCTATTTAGGTATTTTAAACAACTTTATCAAGATGGACTAAAATGCCAACACTTAACCAGACTCAGGGTTCACCATTTGATTATATATTTAAGTCTGATCAAAAATGGTCTCAAGTGGAAACCATTGGATTAGCACGTCTATACTTTCATTCCTTCCGGTCCGTCTGCCTTCATAATGTTTATCACTGACCTTTGAGACGACAAACCCCGATAATGCACGACACCTTTAAACACCGCCTTCATCCCTGAGAGGATTCACGTCTACTCTAAAGGATGTAGTATCTAAAAATCCAATTAAGCAAATACATGCTATTTATTATGCTTGAGTTACCTTATTACTGCTGCAATTGACTCATTGGTCACTGTGCTGGCTGTAATATCAGAGCAGCATGTACTAATTAAAAGGTGGTAATTGTGAGACACCGGGATAATGTTGGCTCGTCCTTAACGCGCCTCTGAACACACTGCTGCTGCTAGATTGTATAAAACCACTGCTCAACCCGCCCTCTCATCATTCTATCTTCATCTATTGTTTTCTTCTCTGTCCAAGGTGAAAAATGATTACACAATTTCCTTATTTTTATGTTTCCAAGATAACTACATATTGATATTAAAAAAAGACTGACTTTGATTAGTGTTCAACGATTTCTAAAGAGCTGGAAAACAATGATAGACCACAAGAGACCCAGACACAGAGACAAAAACGACTAACCAGGTCTGGACGATTCATCTGGGCAATTATTTATAATAAATGCAAATGTATGATTATGATCTTGGTTTGACTTTGCTTAAAACAGAAGTTGTTTTAAATTCGCCCTATGAACCGTTTTCAAATGAACTAATTTGACTGTAGTATTGGTTTCACTCAGTTAAGCAGAGTCGATGTTGGTTCACTTGCCGTGTGAGCCAACGCAGACTCTGGGGAGCACAGGGACTGGCCTCCTGCTGGGACTCTGAGGAGCACAGGGACTGGCCTCCTGCTGGGACTCTGAGGAGCACAGGGACTGGCCTCCTGCTAGTGCCCAGAGTCAGGACTAAACATGGGGCGTTTCAGATTTATGATGCTAAAATCTGAAACAGTCTTCCTGAAAATTTGAGACAGGCTTCTACTCTGACAAACTTTACTCTTGTTTAATGCTTTGTGATTTTAATGCTTTGTGTGATTGTTTCCTTTTTTGTTGAACACTTTGAGTTGCCATGTGCATGAATTGTGCTAAACAAACAAACTTGCCTACATTTTAATTGTCTGATTTGTTCCTTTGCTGCTGCTACACCATCAGTAATTAAAAACAATATCAATTATTTTGCTTTTAGGCTGACCTAATGGTTTGTTCAAGGCTTTTCTAAAGTGTTTGTGTTCTGATCCACAGACAGACAGGAGAGGATGTGGTATCAGTGGTATCAGTACCAGTACCAGAACTCACCACTGATCACCATAGCATCGGCAGTTTCTGCGGGGGTGGTCTTTCTGGGAGTCATCCTCTCGGTGACCGCCTTCTTCTGCGCCAAGAAGATCAGGACGAGCAATGGAGCATCTCCGTCTGCTCCACATGAGCAGACGGAGATGGGAGCGTGATGGAGAAGGTGGGCAATGAATGAGGGATGGGATAAAAACGGTGCTCAAAAGGGCGAGATGCAGCGTTTACGAACAGTTTGCGTTCAGAAGGGAAGATGCAGAGTGCAAATATGAAAGCTGTTTAGAGAAAAGAATAGAAATCAGTAACAATTCAGTTGTGGGGGGAAAAAGCTGAAGGGCAAATGATTGCTTTAGAAGCCCCTTTCTTGCTTTTGGGTGTGGGATGCAGGAGCTAAACGTTGGCGGACAAAAACATGGGCAATTTTCTCGTCATTTATTCGCCGGCTTTAGAAAATGGCGAAGCGTCTTGTGGAGTATACGAGGTAAAGACTCCTAGCCATTCTCTGCTTTTCTGCGGCACACATAATTGCTCCACTGTGATTATGAATGAGCCATTTATGTGATAGGACGGGGTTGTTTAGCTGATTTTCTTCCCTCTCAATCTCCTCCCTTATTGTCGTAAGCACAACCTGCTTTGAAACATCTGTGAGGCTGTTTTGTTTCGAAGCATTTTGTTTTAATGGCATATTGCACTTTTTATATTCACTGTGGTGTACTTCTTTTGAGCATATTAAATGAATTTGAGAAGCATTTGCCGTCCTCCTGCGTGTCATTGATTTTGCTTTATTTTGCAGATACAAAAGACTTGGGGAGTATTGACAACATGCTGAAATTCCAAAACATTCTCATTTTTTTCTTAGGTCCACAGTAGTTTGTTTACCAACCTGTCTCTGCAGGCTGCAGTCCAACACTCTGACCTTTTCTCTGAGTGAGCTGCTTACCCACTGGAAAGCATAAAAGCCCCACATAGTGTTTGGAAGTACCATCACAGACACAACGCCTCGTTCTTGCAGCCAAATGAAGAAATGCTGCCAAACTGTAACAGTAATAAACCAGCACAATATGGCATTGAAGTGTGTCATTGTGAAATTGATTGTCAGTTGTTGTCATGAAGATGTGGCTCAATAAATCAAATGAAAGAGGAGATTAAATCACACTAAACAGTTTCAAGATGCACAGAGACAACAGAATAGACACCATACATACACACAAAGACAAGGGAGGAGGTAGAATGGACTTATCCTGCAGGATTCAGAGAGAGGGTCCAGAGACAGAGAGCCCACAGCAGGCAGAGACGCCCCTATATATATATCACATCTGTATATTCTATCTATGTATTATATCTAAATGAAGTTATTTGAATTGAATGGAATTGAATCAGCTGTGATGTCACACACACTTAAGACAGTCAAGTACCATTGATGCAGCCCGACATCCGTTAAATGACTGAAGCACAGAAATGAATTCCAAATACGCAAATACAGTTTTTAGTACAGACTTTTCACTACAACTTTTCAGACATTACATGTTTTATTCATGTTGAACAATTAACACTTACATCAGGGATCATCATCTATAAGGTTTGAGCAGCATGTGTCTGTTATAATCTGGATAGGGTATTAGAACATTCTCATGGGATTTTCTTTTTCCCATTGACTGCAATATGTTGTTTAGGCGAAGACATCGCCGAAATGCAAGTTCAGTCTCACTTATTCACCCAAAAACACAACACAGGCCCAAATACTCTCCGACCATATACCTTCCCTTTTCTCATTCATATATATGTCTCATTCATTATTTCCCTGGAATCTTAAAGGGGATTTAACATGGCAAATTTACTTGTGGAAGCCTGAATGGACTTCCACTCCCATGTGTCATTCGATGCATGTGTGACAATGTGGGCTTTTATTAGTACCAGTATTTAGTCGCTAGGGGGCGGTCTGCTGTGTATAAAAGCCTCTACATATTGTCATGTCTCCCTCTTGCCTACATCCTGGTTCTGCCGGCTTTGTTGGCCCTGTCATTCCTTGGCTCTAAGGTAAATATTGTCCCGCGAAAATACTGTAGTTAAGAAAGTCCTAAGTGTTGCTTGTTTGTGTAGTCTGTGGCGCGGCTGTGCCTCGCGATGTAGCTCCAGGCTGGCGAGTATCCCCAGTTGGTTACCTCCTGGGAACGGTGTGGATCAGCCGTCATGGTCCCTCACCGAGCGTCGTTGCCCCGGGTCAGACTGTAGTCCGGCTGTAGCGGGGGAAGGCGGGTTGAGAGTTCTGGTGAAGCGCGGCTGCCTCATCTACCCTTTTTATAATTAACCAAAGGTGAAGTAACTAACTTCCATGCTTTGGCGAACTGACATTCTACCTGTAGGAAAATGTGAACTGAAATCATTCCTCTTTGTCAATGGCCTTATCTGTGTTACCTTTTAATTGTGATGTTTAGCCGAGCCAATGGTTAACTAGTAGGCCATCACACACATGCATAGATTTTAAACTCACCCCTTTTTTGCAGTATGAACTTGGAGAAAACACCATCCATCCATTTTCTTCCCCTTTATCCATTTCTGGGTCGGGGGGGTGGCAGTCAGAGCTGCACCCAGTTCTCTGAGCACCAGCCCCTCACTGATCCTCCGGCAGGTGGTGAGTCTGCAGGAGCTTTGATCTTTCAGCGGGGGCTTCAGGCAAAGGGGGGTTACGTGTCTTTCCCTAGGACACAACAACAGCAGACATCAGTGGGAGTAATGAAGTAGGTCTTTCGGTTGGCTCAAACCCACAACCTTCAGGCTCAAAGGCCAATGCTCTACCAACTGAGCCACTGTCGCCACTGTCGGAAAAAAACACCAAATAATCCAAATGTAATAAATTCATAATGTTGCAAGTCTTTCCCTCTTCATTTTCCCAAATCCTCTTAACATCATCAGACGTCCATTTAACTCCCTAATTAAAACAACCCTTGCTGCACATTTAACCTTGAAACTTAACCCCCGCAAAACACAAGCAAGCAGATTTAGCTCTCTTCGCCTGCAGCCAGACGAGATCTCACTAAAACAACCATCAGCGTACAACTTAATCTTTTTAATTTTCTCCTCTGCTGCCTTGTAACCCCTAACACCAGTCCCGACGCCACTTATTACCATAACTGTGCTCATAATGGCGAGAATTTCATTACGCCTGTCTGAAGTTATGTAGGGCTTTACGTGCCTTTTATTACCTTTGCATGGTTGACCGTAGGCGGCTGTTAATAATAATGGGTGAAGCTGCATTTAAACAATGACACCCTAATAACGCAGCAGTGCATTCAGGGATATTAAATGGATATTGCAGTGTTTGAGCAACCCCAGTACAAGGGTTCTCTGGTTTAGCCTACTTTGATGGCACACATAAGTAAACGCAAAAGCAGAACTGTAACCAAACATAATACATTACAGAAGCCCACAACTGCACTGCAAAAAGTGATGAAAAATAAGTCCACTTGTATCTTATTTTGAGCACATTTTCACTGACTTAAATTTGCCAAGGAGCTTGTTTAAAAAGGATACAATCAATGTCTCCCTTGGAATGAGAAAATAAAGTAACTGTTCTTGAGATAAGACTAAATGGCTTTGTCCCACTGGTAAAATCAGATTCAGATTCAATTTATTTGCCATTTGCAGTAAAACCTCATTGGACTGCATCCTTAAAAGTCTCCAGTGTGCACAAGATGGATCAACTAAAAGAGTTTCAACACTAGTGCAAGATCAGTTAAAGTGCTCTGTTTGTACTGATAACAGCTTGTGGAAAGAATCCGTTAGCAAAAGTGAGATGTCTTGCAGCAAATTGTGTTTTAAAATGTATCCAAATTTGAGCAATTTTGGACTTTTTTTTCAGAATGTACTCAAATTTGGACACAAACCACTCAATTATTACCTCTTTTTTTGCAGTATTGATTGTTCAAGGCACCCAGTATATGAATCCTATGTTCTAACATGCCTACTTTGATGACACACAAAAGTCAAACGCAAAGTCAGAATTGTAACCAAACATAATACATTACAACTGAAGCCCAAAACCGCACTACGTTGTTGAATTTAAACTCAAAATGTCAAGCAAACGACCATTCATATTTGCCCTTTGAGTCGGCCATGGGTGAAGAAAGGGGCGCCTTTTGTAAGCTTGAGTTCTTTGGACAAAAGGGAAAGATAATGTATTAGACGATTTGTCCCAGAGGTTGAGTGGAGACACAAAATGAAAAAATTGATTGATTGAGAATCCTGAGCAAGGCCACTGATGTGCGGTGTGCAGCTGTGTGAGCAAGGTAACCCATTTAAAGATATACTGAAACATCTATGGAGCTGGCTGTTTCAAGACCAGGCTATTCTATGAAAATATTATGAGCTTTTTATGCGGCATAACTTTTCCAGTGATGGGTGACCTTATGTTTGTTCCCACAGAATTATTGCCACTTTTCCAGTAATACGTAACTTACTATCTTTCTGTGTTGTTATTCTCTGAAAGTCCCCCGGCCCATTTGGTCTAAGACTTGTTATGCTGCGACCAATTGGATAGATAGGTTTGGAGACTGATGAGTGAACGTTTAAACTACTACACTTATAGATTCTGGCAAAGTCTGATTGCATAACAAAATGTTTCACTTAAAGGTATATACGAGGATTTTCTACTTCTGAGTGGATCAGCAAGACGATTGGTCCTGCCAAGTGTCAATAATTCTGGTGATACGTGCTCGTCAATTAAGTGCAGAGAATTTTGTCCAAATTTTAGGGCAGTTCTTTCCTAAAATTTGGGGGAACCCTCTTATAAGGCTTTGTTATAATGGTTTCCTAAATCTCAATTTGACACAGCAAACACAGCCATCTATATAACCAACACAAATAATACTGCTCATGACAAGGCCAAGGTTGTCCATTTGTATTGTGTCCCCTTCTGTGATTCTGTGGTGGCGTGGGCTGTCTTGAACGGAGTGGTTTACAGGAGCAGCAGCATCGCAGGAAGAAGCTGGACAAGAGCATCAGGGAGTCCAGCAGTTTTGGGGACAGACTTATTCACTCTCGCTGTGTGACTAATGAACATTCTGAGCAAATGTCAGAATGTGCAATCTGAAACCACATGTGTTGCTGACACTTTGCTTCACTTTGTCCCAGACCCTCCTGCTGCTGACATGCACATATA